CTGCCATTTATAGGTGTTCTAAGGTTCTACTTACTCTGGTGGAATAAAACGTTATTTATTATTAGCTGCTTGCACTAACACAGTACACACAGTAGAGCTGTATTTTCTGGTTCCAGCTCCTCAAATGCTCTTCTCTGTTTTTTTTATCACTGTAAACTAAATATCTTTGGGTTTTGGGTCTGTTGGTCAGACAGAAAAAGACCTCTGAAGGTGTCTTTGGGAACTTGTGATGAGCATTTCTCGCTATTTTCTATTCATTTTATAGACCAAGAAGATCAATTGATGTTTAAATAATTACAAGTTGCAGCCATAACCACCAGAGCTACTCATGTTTAAAAAAACCCATCACCTGTGTATTGAAACAGTGTTAATTACTCTGGCAAACGAACACAACAGTTATAGATGAATGTGACACTGCAGGCTACTAAATGAGAAACATTATTGGTGGAAAAGTTGCTCAAAAAACTCTAGAAGAAATGCAAGGCACCATGTTTGAACTTCACCCACCAGTGTGCAACAGTGGGCCTTTCAGCAGAGACCCAAAGCAAGCACAGAAAATGGTTTTCTTTTTTCTTTTACACTGAGAAACTGAGAAAAATGAACAAAAACAAAAACATACGTGTCTCCATCTTCAGTAATAGTCGTGAGCAAGTTCTCCTCCTGTTCAGAGAGTTCAGAGATGTGTTCTTGCTCCTCCTTGGCGCTGGAAATCGTGCAGTCCCCGACTATATCTGTCAGACTCTCCACCGTGATGGACGAGGAGCCGTAGGCTGAGTCCAGGCGCTCCTCCACGGTGGAAAACTTGTCCCTCGGCCCGGTGAAGTCGCTGCTCGGCTCCCGGGGCTCCTCCGGCTTCAGTATGGAGCGGATCGAGTCAATGCCCGAGTCTGTGCGGTTATCCTCCAGCAAATCATCTTTCCTGCAGTCGTCGCTCGCCATGGTGGCGGTGGCCTCTCTCTCTCTCTCTCTCTCTCTCTCTCCCTGTCTCTCTCTGGGTTTCCCCCTCCCGCCTTCCCCCCGAGGATTGTTTAAAGGCTACAAAGCCCGGTGCTCGGTGATGTGACCGGACTCCGAGGACAGCCTGCTGACACCTGAGGAAACCACCGCTCCTTTGTGAAACCAGAGGAATGAGCGTTTCATGCCACTAACCGACTAACACACCATCTCACAGCAGCAACAGCCCCCCTTTCTTTTAGTTTTTCTATCGATTATAGATTTTTTCCCTGCTGTTTTTTTTAAAAAGTCCTAATACGCGGTCATTCCAGCCATTCGTGAAATGGGTTTCAAAAAAAAAAAAAAAAAAAACCCAAGTAAATGAAGCGAAAAACAGCAGCTTCGTCGTCTATATCCGGTAACAGCATGAGCTCCAGGCGGAGAGCATATGAGCAATGAAAGGCGATAAGGGGAAGAGCTGACATGTGAAAGGCAAAGCTGTTTCTGTCACGCGGGGAATCCCCAGTGCGCGTGGACGGACAAACACACACACAAAACATACATACACACACACAGACGCACGCGCAAACTTCAACAAACTTTGAGCGAGGCAGTCAAATTAAAAGTCTGAGGTTGAATTTCAAAACAATTAACGATGCAGTGGATTCTTGAAGAGTGAGACTGAACTGAAGATAGTAATGTACAGTGCAGTTTGTCAACAGGATACTGAGTCAGGTGGAGCCTGTTTTTGGTGTTTTTATCCAAAACAAAGATGCAAAATTAATAATAGTAATATTTTACTTGTAGGTATATTTCAGATTTGTAGATTTTTCTGAAGTTGCTCCAAGCTTTGTGGCATTTATAAATGACTTGAAGATTTTCTTTAAGACAATTAGAAAAGAGTCTCTAATCTACTAAAGTTAATTAAACGTATATTTCAGATGTTTTTTGTTTGTTTGTTTTCTTTTTTATGTCTCTTTTCTGTTAATTAATGCTGCTCGGATTGGATTAATTTGCAGGTAGTTAGGTATACTTAGCATCCATTGATGATGCCTGTTTGTTACTGAAGAAGTTTAATAAAGTTAAAAAAAATAAAAATTAGGTAACCTAAACACGGAAGTGATATATTTTCAAAATAAAACTACATAAACTATGACCATGACCTACAGTGAGTGGGGTTACTTTCAGATATTATGTAAAAGAACCATTCGAGTTTGTAGTCAGTTCATCCATTCATTTCTATACAGCAGTGGTTCCCAGCCTTTTTCTTTAAGGGACCCCCTTTTTGTGACATATTTTATGGATATTTCATATTATATAAAATTTAAAAAAAACGTAAAACTGTACAATGAACCCAAATAGTTAAGTTTAGTTTAAGTTTAGTGATTTGGATGAATTTTGAGCAGACTATTTCCTGTTTAGGGAACTTTTTATACTATTTTCTGTCTGTATTATGTATTTTTTTATATAATTTTTAACGATCATACTTGGGTTTGTATTGTTTCTGGGAATCTGAGGGCTTTAGTCTACATTCTACAATTAAAAACTAACTAATTTATATTCTGATTCCTAACAAAAATATAATTAAATAAATAACCCCCCAACTCTTATCAAATTATTTCCCCACCAGGATTTTATTCATGACCGTGTGGAAAAAGCTTTGAAACAACATGTAGATCCTCATATTACGCACCACATAACTAAACTGTTTTAAAAAATTTAAAAATAGAGACAATGAACTCAATGTTCAATGACGTCAGCGTTTATAAAACCCCGCTTCAGTTGTGTAATCCATCACAGTGATTAAGTGTGACAATGTCCGTAAAGAGGTACATTGTTATATATTGTTAAGAGGTCACACAGTACAGACTTCTCAAATCAGTGTTAAACTGCATTACCATTCGAATCCGACCACTTTGCTGCATGTCATCCCCTCTATCTCTCTCCCTCTTTCCTGTCTAATAAAGGCAAAAAGCCCCAAAAATATTTTAAAAACTGCACTACCATGCACCAATAATGTAACACTGACATAAAAGACTCAACTCATAATCAAATTGTTTAGCAAAAATATTAAGTATACATTATTTGTAGTTAAAGAGCTAAACCTTGACGGCACACTGATATGTCCCTTTAAGGATTGTACCAAGTCAATACTTGTTGCTGTCAAGCCTCAACTAAGTCTGATTCAAATCCAAGTATCAACTCATTTGTTCACCAAAATAACAAAAATAATTTCTCCTTTCATTAAACTCCTTTATGTTCTTAAGTCATAACCAGAAGTCCTAACCTTTACAGCAGTAGGCTTGGCACTGGTTGACAAACACAAAGCAATTTCAGGCCCTTTTCTTAGAGGCTTAATTCGGTTTACATAAATCTTGTCCAATTTAATTTGACAGTGACAGTGAATAATCATTAGTGCTGCAATGTGAGCTGCGTGTGCTTCGGAGTGACTCCAATGGCAATCTGCACTTTGACTTACAGTATTACATAACGCAACAATATGCATAGTTGTTTTGCATACTTGTGTGGGAGCGCCAGTTTCTTTCCATTGATATATTCAAACAACAACCAGAACAAGCGGGACAAAAGACTCCTATTTGTCCACTATTTTCTGTCCCAGGTCAAGGCCTGTATACAGGAAAATATGATACATGTAAGCAGAGTTTAATTTGTTTGACCTTCCGAAAGTTCAGGAATAACCCAGCTATCGTTTCTTGTTTCCTTTACCATCATGAAAATGTTTGTTGTGGTTTGGCTGTCAGAGGGCTCACTGCAGCTCTTTGCTCTGAGAGGGCCATAGCCATCACAAATATAGTCTATAAAACAATAGCGACTGTCAGAGAGAAACCTTTTCCTGCTGCCAAGAGCTGCCATCTGTTTTCATGTCATACTGTTACGTTTACTTATTCCATTTTATGTAAGCAGCTGTCCAGTCCAATGTCCATACTGTGGGCTATGATAAACAAGGACTGGTGTGCCAGGATTGTAAGCTGAAGGCTTCCTGTGAAAACAGAGCTGTTTAAAAAAAGGGAAAAACTGAAACAGCAGGAATGTAGAATATTTTTTTATACATTATTAATCTTCAGATTATGTCTTCTTGTATTTCACGTCTTTAAAAAAAAGGCACGAGTGCATCAGCTTATGCTTTCTCATTACAGCATGTCTTCAAAAGGAAAAGGAAAAGTCTGTAATCTTAAAGAAGTCTGTTGACATGTTACAATCTTATTTGTAAATTACATAAACTCTGTCAGAATACAGCAAGATATATTATTGTTTATGTGAAGAAACAGCAGAATACAGAGCTCAACAAATTCAGTTTATGGATTAAAAAAACTGCACAAATCCCATCAATATGTGTAATTTTATGTTTCACTGAAGGGGATCATTACTGTGGGGTCATTACTAAGTGACCATTAGTTAAACGTATCACTTATCACCTACAGCATTAAATATATCACTAAAAGAAAAAAAACACTTCAGTGTTTGGACCATAAATTGAAAAATCAATTTGGCATTATGTCAACCAAACTGTGAAAGCCTCCAACATGTTCACTATCTAACCGTAAATTACTATCGGCTTATAATTATTTATTAATCATTTATCTTAATGCCATTCAGTTCAGCAATAAACAAACTATGTCCTCATAACTTACCGCACTTTCACCAACACTCTCAACCAAAACATGAACATCACAACGTTGCTGCAGGCCAATTCTATCACATGCACTGTATTTTTTTCCCCTGTATAATTTGTCTGTGAGTTTACTGTGTAGGTTGACTAATATGTTTTCATCTATACTGACGAGTTAGCTGTATACATCTGCAGTAACCAGCTGCTGTTATTATTTGTTCCAGTATTATAGCCTAATATATTTTAAAGGGGGTGTTTGTATCATAATTGGTCCATACAGACATGGTCATACATTATGCAGGGGGTGGGTTTCTCTCGGCAGCACCGCCTCTGTGTGCAGTTGGGATGCACTTGAACAGGGATGTGTGTGTGTCTGTGTGTGTGTGTGTGTTATTTACATTGTGGTGTCGGGGCTGGCTGCTCACACGTGCCGCTGTCTGTAGTCTTTGTCCTGCTTCACAGCTCCACTGGCTGCCATGGGCACTGCCCACAGGGAGAGGAGCTGACTGCCGCCTTTCCTAACATTGCATCCCTCGCAGCAGTCTCCACCAGCATCCAGTCATTGCACTGCGGGAGGAGTCTCTAGTCTATTTTGCGCGTCTTCCGAGGCACAATGACCCGATTCCCGTAGGCGATACCCAGCGACGTCTGCCTGGCTACCTGGAAGATGCTGGGATGAGGAGGATGGAGCTTTTGAGCGTTTGCATTTGGGCTCTGGTTGGCTTGGTGTCTGCTGGATGATGCGCAGAGGGGTTCTCGGTGTGTTTATGTTTGACCCTGATTTGGAAAACCCCCATCCCACCAGGAGATCCATGCCCCGGTTTTTGCACCGTTGTCATCACCATGTCCCCAGCATCGGCTGCAACGGCCAGTGAAAGCAGCACCACCACCGTCCCCGAAGAGGAGTCAGACAGCCCCAGAGAGGAGGTGAGATCACATTGTTTATATAGTGTGCAGGACCATTTTCTCACCCAAAATGCACGGGGGGTGCAAATTGAGCCTTTAATTAATGTGACATATTTCATTGATATCACAGTGGAATTCAAATAATCTCACTATGATAATCAGATTTTGAAGATTAGGGTTTAATTGGGTCCAATGTGCACGGGAAGCTTGGGAATTGAAGTGGATTTCTTATGTGATTACAGTTAAAATGCAGTAAAATATGAACCTGTGCGTCCAAGCGCGCACCCGAGATTGTGAACGTGCACGGATGCACTCCTGTTTGTCTCCTCTCCAGACAAGTGGTTTCCAAAATGAGGTTTGGGGACCTCTTAAGGCGCCTGAAAAGGGCCCAAACGAGTCTTCAGGAAAATGACACCAAGAATCACTGCCACTGTTACAATGAGAGGTTAGAAGAATGTTATTTTCCAATAAGAAAACTCATCCACGGGTTTGTTAGTTTAAAGACAAATAAATCTGTCTCCAGACAATGTGAGGACAGTCACTGTGCAGACTTCCCCTACAAACACACATGTTGGACAAGTTACATATCCATTACACAAGAGGGTTTTTATATAACCTAGCTGGTCTTATTATGTCAAGAGAAAGTGTCCATGAGTCTGAGAGGCACTTAGTTCAAGGCGCCATAGCGGCCTCATGAATTGTGAAGCTTCTCCGGTCTTGAAGGTTCTGACTGAAACATTTGCTTTCTAAAATATTAATTACATTTCACAACAGGGTGTTTTATGGATTTTATCCTTCCTGATGAAACTACATATTTTATTCCATTCTGAGGCTCTTTTATTTCAGAGATTTAGTGTTAAAGCATCCATATAATGCAAAGCGTTTTAGTCAAAGCCACAATCATGCCAATCTACAGACGTTTACAGGCCATTACTGTAAACCATAAAGGTAAAATTGTGATATAAACATGCAGGATTGTATTCTAAATATCCCAAAAATATGTTGTTTTCTATTCTCGATATGTTTAGTTGTACATTTTGTAGCCTGGATATAAATTATTTGTGTTTTTGTGTGAAGGAACAGTAAAATACAGACAACATAAGTGCAACTAAATGTTAACAACAACAACAACAACAACAATAATAATAATAATAATAATAATGATAGAGCCTCCAGCTGACTGAACCTTTTTGAAGCTTTTTACACAATTTTACACCATAATTGTATCAAATATAAATCTGTATCAGTACAATTTTGAAGCAGCTTTTAATTCACACATTAAAATCACACAGTAAGGAAACCTCTTTCATAAACTCGATTTACAGATTATATTTTCTCATGTTGGGAATCAGAAACATGGTGATTGTTCCTGTCTCAGCTACATTGGGTGTCCCTGCATGACAACTATCTGAGGTATTTCCCCCCCTGTTTGCTTGATAAGAGACAATTCTTGCTATTCAACCAGGCCGGAGGAATTTCTTTGTCTAATGTATCAGACATGTCAACACCACTATGTTTGTGGTGAGTCACTTCCTTCCTTTTCTGCTATCCATGGGTCTAATTAACAGCTCTGTTACAGTGTCAGCCAGGGAGTTTTTAATTGAAATGTCATCTGTTTGCGAAAATCTTGGTGGTATTTTAAAGTTTCCATTAATAAAACTCCCTGCACCCGAAGCGTCTAGTTATTATCTCTGCTATAATTCTTTAAAATCATGGATGAAACTGGTGTGTATTTGAATTTTGTTCATTGACATATCTGCAAACATTTATACATGCTGCTGTTTCAAGATTATATTTGCCTTTTTTTGCAAGTTTTTAATCAAATATTGCCTCATATTTTCTTTCCATTAAAAGGCGTACACAAGTAAATTACAGACTAGTTCCTATGCAGTGTGATGTTTCCTTCTACACAACTGTTTATCATTATTCCTGCTGCTTAAACAGAAGCTGTAATGTGTAACATAAGCCACAAAGTATGTCATGTTGTATTGATTATAGTTGTGGAGCATGTGCAGGATGCGAGTGAGTAAATACTCCTTCTGCAGTAGGTTCATCTCAATGGGGAATTTCAATGTTAATCCCTTTTACCCCATGAGGTGTAGCCCTGGGTTGGTAAGGGACTTGGGGACCATGTGACCAAGGTGGCGAAGATAATTACGGAGAAAGAACATCTATTATTTATGCCAGTCTGTCACTCGAAGAGCACATAGCTGACATATTGAATTCAATACATCAATGCAGTGATGCTGGTTGTTTGACTGTTGTGGTCATTCATATGCAGGGACTGACCTATGTAAGAGACGGAGAGGATATCCATTGTTGTTCAGCTGAATGAAGTGCTGCTATACAATCCGGTGCAGCACAGATTTAGTGTTTCTTATGTCTATACACGATGGGCTCTGCCCTGGTGCAATGTCTGTGATGCAAATTGTTTGAATGAGTTTTGTTTTGTTATAATTCGTCCATCCTGGGGCTTTTGAATCTCTGCCAGGTTTGTGTGGCAGCGCTCCCAAAAGGCGTGACTAGCTCTTGATGCACTGGGGGTTGCTGTGCCCCATGGTGATAAAGGATGGCACCAGCTCTATGCTGCCAGAGTCAAACGACTCCTTTTTTTCTGGCTGGCCTGAAATTAAATGTGGAGTCTATACCCCTCAGAATATTTATGTTCTTTTATCATATTTATATAAACACATGCACTGTGGCCTTGTAGACACCCACACACCAGTCAGACAGAAGCTCACAGTGCTCCTTACTCACAACAAGGTATATACTTAACATTGTACTTTAATCAGACATTTTTATTGAATTTGAGTATAAGAGAGATTTTGATTATAACAAGCACAGACCAAGACATGAGAAACTGGCTCAAGGCTCATGTATAAACTATGCAAAAGCACTTACATTGCAGAATATTTCCTTAAATATTTAATATGCATGGGCTACTAACTGTTCCTAACTTTGTACCTAACAGATATTTAGGTCATACTTATGTCCACCAATTAAAGTGGTAAGTAATACATTTATGTTTCTAATTGTTTTGAGGTCTGAGTATTATTGAGAAATGATTATATGCTAACCATTTACTTCTAGGACAGCATATGAACAGTATTTGATTATGTTCAAAAACTATGTTATGTTAAAATAATTCCAGTATTGTTCTGTTGACTTATTGCTGTTTTCTCATCTTCTTTGTAGCAGCGGCCCCACAAACAGTCCCTGACGAAATCCTTGTGTCAGGAAACTCACTGGAAATGCCTGCTGCTGTCCCTGCTGATGTACAGCTGCGTCGGGGTGATGGCCTGGTGCCAGGTGACCAAGGTCACACGCCTCTCCTTCGACAGTGCTTACAAGGGAAAATCTATGATGTACCACGACAGTCCCTGCTCCAACGGCTACATCTACATCCCTTTGGCCTTCCTGGTCATGCTCTATGTGGTCTACCTGGTGGAGTGTTGGCACTGCTACACCAGGAACGAGCTGCAATACAAGGTGGATGTGGACAGTGTGGCAGAGCGCATCCAGCGAATGCAGGGGGCTACGCCGTGCATCTGGTGGAAGGCCATTAGTTACCATTATGTCAGGAGGACACGGCAGGTGACGCGCTACCGTAACGGAGATGCCTATACCACCACGCAGGTCTACCACGAGCGAGTCAACACCCACGTGGCTGAGGCAGAGTTTGACTATGGGAACTGTGGGGTTAAGGACATCTCTAAGCACCTGCTGGGCCTGGAGGACTTCCCTATCACCAGGCTGAGGTTCACTAAGTGCTTTAGCTTTGCCAATGTGGAGTCAGAGAACTCCTACCTGACCCAGCGGGCCAGGTTCTTCACAGAGAATGAGGGCCTGGATGACTACATGGAGGCCCGTGAGGGGATGCACCTGAAGAATGTAGACTTTAAAGAGCATATGATTGCCTTTTCTGACCCTAACCATCTCCCCTGGTACGCATTAAACTCCACTTTCTGGGCGGCAGCTGCTTTCACTCTTTCCTGGCCTCTGCGGGTGCTGACAGAGTACCGTACTGCTTGTGTACACTACCACGTAGAGAAGCTGTTTGGCTTTGACTATGTGCCAGTAACACCATCTGAGGAGCGGCCGTATTGCAGACACATCCCGCGAGTCAACACAATCGACAGCACGGAGCTGGAGTGGCACATCCGATCCAACCAGCAGCTGGTGCCCAGCTACTCAGAGGCAGTTCTCATGGACCTGTCCCAGCTCTCTGGGAGCTGTAACAGCTACTCCGTATGTGGAGGCTACGGTAGCTACAGGCAGAACTGTGAGCGCTGCCACCGCGCCATCAGTAGCTCCTCCATCTTCTCTCGCAGCGCCCTCAGCATCTGCAACACGGGGAGCCCCCGCATCCCCTTCAGTGCAAGCCGCTTCTCACTGGGTCGGTTGTATGGCTCCAGGCGGAGCTGCCTGTGGAGGAGCAGCGGAAGCCTGAATGAGCGGTCCTGCCCTACAGAGAGCACGCGCTGTCTGTCAGGTCAGCAGACCAGTGAGGAGAACCCTCCAGCCTACCAGGACGCTCTGTACTTCCCAGTGCTCATTGTACATCGTAACGAAGGCTGCCTCAACCACAACCACCGCTCCCTGCACAGAAATGGCTCCTGTGTGGAGACTTCTCTATGACCCACAGCTGCCAGACTTATCTGAGCAAGGAATATAATGATACAGGAACAGAGACTCTTTAGAACAAGGTTAGGCTAACATTGACTTCTGCTTCTCCCTTTTACAATAGGCGTGACTCAGTCACCTACAAGTTCCCACAAACAAGGATTTGCTCAAGTTTTTAAATATACTGTAGCCTCAAATAAAGAGGAAACCAACTATATCTGGGAAAGTCCTTACAGTACAGTCAATAAGTCAGGGAAAAACAGACTTGATGCCATTTCTGAGACTGTTTAAAATACAACGCGGCTTTAAAGGACCAAACTGCCAAAGTGTCACGTACTGTCCTGCAGCGAGTCAAATAACCAAGGAATACCAAGAGGAGTCACATCCTACTGTAAATGCCATATTTGTAAATCTTAGTCACAGACAATTTACAAGGACGTGAGTAACCCTTTCTAGTATTTGAAGCCTAATGTAGGTTTTGACTCAGCAGTAGCCTAAGAAATTGCCAAGAAATCAAAGGAATATGACAATTAACGGACACCTGAATGAGAAATGAAGAAATATTGAGAAAATCTCACACACACATCACGTGAGTCCTGTGAATTGGGTGAATTATGAGGGTAAATGCAAAGATATCAACCTTCTTGTCAACGTATAAATGAGACTAAATAGATTTGCTGAAATAAAATACATGTCTTACGGCTCCTATAAAGTGGAGTTAACTTAGACCCAAATCTAACAGCTTAAGGTCTGCATGTGAAAGCTTTTGATACTGCGTGATTTAAATCTGTTCATGCAAAGTCAATGCTCATGGAAATCCATTTAAAAAAGGAATACATTTCCATAGTATAAAAATAGTGTAGATGCTGAAATAAATAAAATATCAAGTTTGCTGGAATTGGCTTGGATGCAATGACATTATACTTCCTGGGTTGCTAAATATAGCAACACAGTCGATGAATAATTTAGCACAGGTGGGCTAAAGGACACTTCAAACTGAATCAACAACACTTCTTAAAACAGTTTCCTAATAACTATAAACTGTACATTTTGTATAATGGCCAACTAAATACTAATAAACCTCACAAAATATGAATCGATCAGTTAGTCAGCTAGTTTAAAATCTCAAAGATCCATTTGATTTCATATTTGGCAATATTTGTATTCAGCCTACCTCTTTATTTAAGTGCCTAGCGATCAACTGTTACTGACAAAGCATAAGCTATTATAACTCTAGTCATCTCATCTCAACATTGTCTCATTAAAAACAACTCGACTTTACACTCGTAATAGCACACAGTAATGAGACCCCATCTCATTATTGTTTAAAATACACAAGGTTTTAAGAATCAGGCCCTGCATGTTTCTCAGATGAATCTCCTCATAATATAACACAGCTCCTGTATAGCCGACTGCTGCTGCTGCTGATGCATATCAGAGAGACAGCCAGAGAGCTGGCCATCACAGACGCTAGAAATAGGCAGAGGCCTGGATTCACTACTGATAGTGTCAGATTTAATAATATGACAGGATTACTTTAAAGAACTAAATAAAAAAAAAACTTCCTCTCAAATGAGTGCATGCGGTATTTTAGTCCTGGTGAATTTTATTTTACAGCCAAGCCATGCACAACAATAAATGTTTAATGGATGACGACAATCAGGCACGCCAGAACTTAACATTATGTAGGAATAGGTTTCCAAAATGTAACAAATTAGCTAATTATTAATATTAATTTGAAAAATAACTGTAAAATCCCACAGCACAACTCATCACTCGAAGTCTGCTTTATTTCTTCTTTGCGAACGTTCTTAATCCTGAGAGATGAAAATAAGCACAGATCTTATTCAAGAGGTATTTATATACAAACCAGCCTTCATCTCATGAGACCTGCGGTGAAACATAAACTGGCATGGATCGTTTTCCACCATTAAGACCATTAAGATCATTAAAATGTCTAAAAATAGTAAATATCAAAATCTTTCCTGTGTTCGGACATTTTGTGTTACTTCTTGTTACAGCTTGTCTTCACAATAATGAGCTTGTATTGTACATTTTGACCAATTATCCATATTCATCACATTCCACGTGTGGTGTTGCAGACTTTATCTTTATAGCAATACGAGAGAATACACTGAAAATAGTCAACGGGGGTGAGCGATGATAAAAACAATGAGTCTATCAAACCTTACATTTCATTCAACAGAGGACAGTTTGGGAAGAAATCATTCTGTAAACTCTTTTCACAACTCACAGGTCATCTATGCAAGCCCCTAGAACTCAGGATAGTATTCAGGGCAAAGATTCTGCTTTGCAACAACATCCAAAAACCTGTTTATCCCTCCTTTCTCTCTGAACTTTAGGTTTAGTAAGCAGTTATGCACACGGTTTATTTTGCTTTTATAAAAGGCTTCAGCAAAGATCAGCTCCGTAATAACCAGTTTTTAAATGTGGGGTTTTACAACCACGGGATGTTAAACCAAACATGACTAATGTTATCATTCCAGATAACAAAGGGAACTGATAGATATCTGTTTCCCTCCAGGATTTCAGTTGCACCAGCTGCTCATAAATCCGTTTCCAAGTTCTTAGTAACCACTCGTTAGTTTCCAATCGGTGATTTACTAAACTGAAATGCACCATTAGAAATTAAGAAATGTCTTAGGAAGTAATGTGTTACATGTTATTAATACACCACTATTAAACAGCATTTCAATCAAGTGTCAGGTCATATATGTTGACCATATCAATATCAATATAAAGAGATCATTGTATTAGGTTATCTTCCTATAAAGTTTAAAAAATAGTTCACATGCAGAAATTTAATAATTTAATAATTATGCTTATTTGTCTTGCTGAGAATTACATGAGATAAAGTGCGACCTATCGAGATGTGCTACGTAGCGATTCTGCAAATGCAGGGGTGGGTAAATGTTAGACTATTGATTCGAGCAGCATAAGGCAGCATAAACTGTTAGAACACCTTTTATCTTACACAGCCACAACTAAACTAGCTCTGTCTGAACAAGATCCAACTATCAGCACCTCTAAAACTCACCAATTACCACGTTTTATTCTGAACAAAAGCCGAAACATAAAAAGAAGTTGTGATTTTACAGGGTGTGTGTGCTGGAATATAAAGTGTTAATGAGTGAGTTTATTTCCATCCCTTGTAGCTGTGCTCCACCTGCTTGGAGTCTAAGCTAAGCTAAAAACTAGCAGGCTGTTGGCTGTATTAGTGTTATATTTACTGGACAGATACGAGCGTTGTAAAGATCTTCTCATCTAACTCTCAGCAAGAAGACAAATAAGTGTATTTCCTAAAATGTCAAACTATCCTGTTTAGGGTTTATGGGTGGTGTACAACGCAAACCTTTTTGAGCAACATGAACAGCATATATTTTTTTTTAAAATAGCAGGAAATCAAAGGGATTGACCAACCACATATTTCTGATTCTGGGTCATGAAGGGCTGGATCATATCCCAGCATGCATTGGTCAGAGGGCAGGGAATCATGTACTGTCCATTTAAAGTGTAAAGAAACCACAAGGACGAGCATGCAAACTCCACAAGGGATTAAAAAATGTACTAAAACATCTATTGAGTATATAATTTTGGGATTTTGGTCACTGTTTTATACTGAAGTCATCACATTCTCTCATTCATCATTAGCCAACAAGCCTTTCAGATGGCTTCACTGTGATATCCATACATAGTCATGTGTAAGAATAGAACAATGTGTTTACCAGTGCAATGTTTACGTAACAGCGGTGACATAAAAAATATTTGGGGGCGTTCAAAATGGTTATAAATCTGATTGGAAGGTTCATAACGAGACATTTTTCCTCCATAGGTGACTGTTAGCATAAAGGCTTTTGTCATGCAAAGCACTGAACCCTTTATCATGTGTATTAAGTAGGTTAGGTTGTTATGATACGTACTCTCTCACTCAAGAACGCTCTGGGGTTCGTCTTTTTATATTCCAATAATTTTTGTGGATTTTCAAGACTGTAGGGCAGAAAAGGATTTGTACTGTAAATAAAACAATAGAGGCGACAGGCCGGAATGACTAGAATGACAGGTCGATGTGGCACTTGTGCTTAGCTGAATGTGTCACGCACACTTAGAGGTAGCTGAAGCAAGGACATTTTTTGATGTCCAGATGTTAAACGGTGAGTTTGTTAGGTCACAAATGGCAATACAATCCATTGTAAAAAAATGTTTCACAGCCGGCAGCATCTTTGTGCTGCTTTTCATTTACTAGTTTGAATGATTTGTGTTTCCCTTTAAACCAATTTTTACATTTTTTTTAAATCATATTTGATACACCTTTATTTAACTAATAATGTCACACATACAAATAAACACATCTTTTTTAAGGAACATGATTGGGTGATTATTGATAGTGATTACTGATGTGAAGAATATCAGTTCAGATTGCTTCATGTACAATTTACAGAATAGCTTTGCCTCTTTTTGTATGATTCTAGAAAACAAGTGATTTTGCAAGATTAAAAACTGGGAAAATGTGACATTAATTACACTTAAGATGTTCTGTTGCTGCCTAGCCAAGGTGTTACTACCATACTATTAGCCAGTAGATATAGGTTAAAAAAAAACAAAAAACTAAACACAAGTCTGTATGTATTCCAACATCACCACAACGTTGCCTTGATGTTACATAAGGACTGAATACCAAATCTGTGTATCAAAATGGGAAAAAAAGCTCCTCAATAAACTGAAATGCTCACTAAAATATGTGTCAGAAATTACTTATAACAATAGTTGCCACATCCCAAAGAACTTCACTATGCAATGCTTTGTGTATTGTTAACTGGATATATGGTCTACATCTTAATATGTGAGAAATATGCTTCTTGTTTTTGTTCTTGTTGTGTTTAAAGTTATGGTTGTAGTAAAGGCTTAAAAGACTAAAATGTTTTAAAAAGTAGCATTAAGGGACATCCTTTTGCTAATTATTTGTGGCATCAGACAAACATACCATAAAATATAAAAATGGGCACAAAAATGTAAAGGCTGACAAATGGTAAGAATCCTAGTGTTTTTTACTAAGAACAAAAATACTATTTTTTTTTAATATAATTTTGTTCATCTACTTTAATTTGAGATGCAGATCTGGCATAAAGTGGTTGTGCAACATGCCTAAATGAATACAAGAGGAGTGCTGATCATTGACTAACAAAGAGCGGTGTATTGTATTAAAAAAGAGGAGCTGCTGATGTCTACTTCGCTTTACTCTCCTGAGCACGCCTCTTTTGTTCTAAACTCTGGTTGGTCCAAACCACCTGGTTGATGAAAGAAACGCTCTGCTCATCAACCTCCGTCAGGCGGATATCGCATTCTGTTACACCGGTGTTGTGAGACATCGCCTCCTCCAGAGCTCGACCTCCATCCTGCACACACAAACAGGTAGGGGGAGAGAGAGAGAACAAACAAACACATTTGGTACTGATGCATGTCCACGTTGAACATATCACAGGACGGCTGTTCTGTAAAGGTCTGAGGAGACAACCTTGAAAAAATCACCCCTCGGCAACTCTTGCTGTCCGACATAGCCCACACTTTCTGAACTGCTTGCTCTGAGTGTCGGCAGTGTTTTATTGTTATGTCTGTTTCTATTTTGGTGAAGAGTAGACCAAGGTCACAGATATTGATGTTACTGCACATTGCCTTTTCTGCTATGTGAGTGATTTTTGATCCTCCGCCGTGTATTCTGGTCTGAGATATACTGTACAAAGAAATCTTGAAGAGGAGAGAGCATGTGAGGAGGAAAATCTGATCTCCCTCTCATGGGGAAACAACACTTATTTAGCTTCCCATTATTGCATGTTTTCAACACATATGAATAATTGAAAGACCTGGTTATTTTCACGGTACTATGTCTGTATGGGCGATGGCACGCTTGGGGTGAATTAAATGCAGTGTTTCAAAACAGCCCAGTGTTTCAAAGTTCCCCTAATAAGAGATTTTACACATTCTTATGGTACAAAACCCCCTTTAAAGGATAACTTGCAATGTTTTTCCTTTTGGAGAAATAGACTCACACTAGGGATGCAGCATTAGGGATGACAGCGTCAGTGAAATACTATAAAATGTCAGAAAGTTATGAAAAATTCCCATTACGTTTTGGGGCCCAGGTAGACAGTCTAAAGTCCCTGAATCATTAAAGGTCCAGGTTCAACATTTAGGGAGGAAATCTATTGGGCAGAAAAATTGTTATTTTATATCAATAAGGGGTATTGGTGTTTCCTTTAGTGTTATTTATCACTGAAAATAAGAACTGTGTGTTTTTGTTCAATGCGTTCGACTAATTACATTTGTGCCACATTGAGATTGACGAGCTGAACCTGCAACATCCTGAAACTGCTGCTACTGCTTTTCTATGGCAGCACCCTCAGGTAAAAGTGCATACGTATCACCCCCCCCAAAGGCTCTAAGAACAATAATTTCCTTACCACACCCAGTTTGTTACAGGAGAGATTGATGCTCTTCAGGGTGTTATTCTGAACTAGCACTTTAGACAGAGCAATGGCAGTAGGCAGCGTCACCTCATTGCCTCCCAGGTGCAGATGACGCAGACTGTTGTTGTTCAGCAAGGCCTTACCAATAGCCTCACCCCCCTCATCCCTCAAACGGTTGAGACGCAGGTTGAGTGACAAAAGGGTGGAGTTGTTGGACAGGGCGTGAGCTATAGCTTTGGCTCCCGGGCCTCTGATATCGTTGTCGCACATGTTCAGTGTCTCCAGTTTACTCCTGGTGAGCAGTTTGCCGATGGCTCTGGCTCCTTTGTCTCCGATCAGGTTGTGAGAGAAGTCGAGCTCCCTGAGGGACGGGTGGTCCAAAAGGAATTTCACCAGCAGACGGCACTTTTTATCCTCAACGTGGCTTTGATGGAGCCTTAGAAGCTGTAGAAACACAGTATATTGTGAAGATTAGCGAGATTATGTCGTAGGTAGCACAAAAGACGTAGTTATTAGGAGCACATGTAATGTCATAGGTTTAAAAATAACTCCCCTTTTCTGTTTTTTTGACAGTATGAACTTGCCCACACATATAAATGCTTTTGCCACCAGTGACTATGCTTTATATATGTAAAATAAAGTAAGTAAATCAAATAAATATTAACTAGTGCTGAAACAATTAGCTGATTAATCAATTAATCAGCTGAATCGATTGCCAACCATTTTGATAATGAAGTAGTCGTTCACTGTTCCTATCTTCTCAAATGTGCTTTTTCTCTGTTACATCATTGTGAACGAAATATTTTTGGGTTTTGGACCGTTGGTCGGACAAAACAAGCAAGATTGTCGCCTCATGCGTTGGGAAATTTTGCTGGGCAGTTCTCATTATTGTCTGATACATTATAGAAAACGATGAATCAAAAAAATAGTTACGTAGTTAGTTGCCGCCCTGATATCAACTCCAATAATCTCTTGTACATGTCCCATATCGTGCACAGTAGCAGTAGCAGATACATGCCATGTTCTCATGCAGTTTATGTGACAAAAATGTTGTGTCAAATAGTGACTTATTTAGGTTGCAGCCAGCGGCTCTGCTGTCCTTTCTTTGATGTAAATAGAGCATGAATTTAATGTTTGGGTAGTGCAAACAACAATTTTCCTGTTTCATGACACCAGGGGCCGTAAAATGTTAGTAAAGGATGCTTTGTAACTGAATTACAAACAACAAACATGCTCCAGACAGTCAGAGCTACAAAAGGACTTTTCCTTTTGTGTAAGTAGCTGATGGGGAATCAATATTCACCTTCAAAGTCTTACAGGACTTAAGGGCCTTGGCGAGGGACTCACAATCTCTGTCAGTCATCTCAAACATCTCCCATTCAAAGTTCATACCACACTGTTTGACACTGTACACCAAATGGAGCTCTTCCAGGTTTGTCAGCTTGTTGAGCAGGATGCTAAAGTCAAAGTGGTCCATAGACGGTCCGTCGTACTCATTTTCACTTGCCAACTCTGAGCCATATTCATCTTCCTCTTTCTGGGGCTCCTTGATAGGCGGCAGGAGCTGGGAGATGTCCAGCCTTTTCACATAGTTCTTACAAAGAGGTACCATCTCTAGGACGGCATTTGGCTCCGTTACATCTGGGATAAAAAGCTCAATGACGTGCTCCATTTGCCTCGCGAAGAACATCTGTTTCCAGCTGTTGCCATGAAGGGAGACGTCACAAAGGTCCCACCGCTGCTCACAGCACCGCTTCCAGTAGACACCATCACCAATCAGGTTGGCTGTCACACGCAGTGGCACCGAGGTAGACAATCTCTCCTGCACAAAGGCTTTCTGGGTGGGGGTCAAGGCTCTAAATATTGGCTTTTCTGTAACACATGAAGTTTGATTCATAGTATAAGTGGGTGTGTAAAAGTGTGTGTGGTAATGGCAACTAGAAACAAGAGCCGTACCCTCAAAGTTTGTGACAATGCTTTGCAGACAGAGGTTTGACAAACAGGGCACTATAACCAGGGACCAGTTTGGATCTTCAGCAATGATCCTCCTCATCTTTCTGTAGTCTTAGCTGGGTTGGCTCCTGGAGGATTAGAGGTTGGTCTGCAATTAGAGGAAACAATAAATTAAAAGTTAGAAATTGTAGATAGACGTCAACCTGCTGCCACACATTCAGCCGCTAGTTAAAACTGTCTCTGGAGCAGCGATAAGTTAACAGAAAGCGGCCTAATGTCAACTAAAATGCGACTAGCTTACTACTACGCCGAAAGACATCTTCGCAGCGGTAAAACAGCGGACATTTAATGTGTTTTTTGTACCTTTTAGTTGACTTACGCACACAAAACTGGTCAGAAGTTAACGTTTAGCTACAGCGCGCTGCTCCGGGCTTCGTCCGTCTCCATGGTAACAGAACGCTCGCGGCTTGTTTTTCAACCCGGGACATTTGAGCTCTCAGCACCCTGAAGGAGGAGCGGTGTACTTGGGAGATAAACAAGCGGTAAAAAGCTAGTGTTCGCAGTGTGTGTCGCTTTATTTGAAAGACATCAACGGACGGAAGTTTTTTTGCGGGGAAAAAATCTAATCATTATATGATATCGTGAGTTTCCTTGTCAGAGTCAATGGTATCTTTGTGTGGATTTTACAGTAGGGAAAAGGGGAATTTCCGACACTCATGGAATGCAACATTTGTTTCCTCAAAGAGTGTTTAAAGACTTTATTGTCTGATGGGTTCACTGACACTATAGTGAAGATACGGCCCTTTATATAAACTGTCAGTGGCACAGACACAATAGGAAACTGTTGGCAGAGCAGCAGATATATTAGATTAACTAATTCATTTGATAAACATTTGAATGTAATGTCAAAACACAAGACAAAACACATTCATAATGCTGTTTAACTTTAATACTGCATATCTTCACAGGCACTATAAACACACAGATTTTCAGTATTTTGCAAATACCAGTTAATTCTCTTAACCATTCATTACAAATTACCTTAACGGCACTGTCTATTCATTAAATGCATGAATAATAAGAGAGCATCCCGAAGAAGGCCATACAATGAACATAAGACTGTCTAATAGTTTCTCAGTTACAGTAATATGTTAACAGGTGTACATAAATGGTGATACGAGTGAGTGTGTTTAGGTCTGGGTGTGACATCGGTGTTGCAGGAGGCTGCGTGCTGGAGCTGCTGCAGTGTTCAGCATGATCATGCTGTGAAGAACATTTGGATTCTACAAAACTGGCAGATGGACCACGGATACGGACCATGAGCCTTTTGGACAGAGCATGCTGGAGTGAATCCATCGGTCTTACAAACAACAACACAAAGCAGGTGGACTACAGTGTAGGAGGTTAGAAATCAGTAAATATCAGCTTAAGAGAATCCTGACTGTTGTGAAAATAACACAGAAAAGTACAGTAAATGTGGTTTTCCCTGTTCCCTAATCACATCTGCTGCAGACTGAGATACATTTATATTCTTCTTACTAGTCTTTTGTATATCCAGTATGCAATAAATATCATAAAATAATGAAAAATCCCCATTATAACTTCCCAGAACCCAAATATAATTTCAAAATCTGACAAACTTTTTAAAATTTTTTGCTTGAAAACATGAGTGAAACAATCGATTAATAGCTGCAGATTTTTAAATCTTTAATAGGCTAAAGTTACTTTCATCAATAATGTAGCTTAATTATCTGGGTAACATTTTCACATGACCACACATGGATGGAGGCAGGCACATGATGCAGCAAAAACTGATTGTGTTCCCCTTGTGGGAAGGGGAAGGGCAGAGAGAGAGAGAGAGAGAGAGAGAGATGGCTGTTACTGGCATCATAAGGTTGCTCCAAGAGTCGGAAGGAGGGTGGGATGGAGGAATGAGAGGCTCCAACTGTATCCCTGAGGCGGTCCATCACTGTCGTCCTCATGTAATACGGCCTGACAGACACACGCTTCCCTCATACTCTGGCTTTAATGGACTGGGGTGACATCAGCCATCCACAGCACAGGATGCTCCCTCTGTGAGCTACAGTGCACTCTGGGTAGTCAGTGTGGGATGAATCACCGTGTTGGGCGTCCCTGAATCTGCACCAAACAAGAACTGTATACAGGTTCACCGATCAGCTGGGTAATTCCTTGTCTTGGCGTGAGGCAGCATGACTCAGCTGTCAAATATTATTTATAATTGATACCTGCATGTAACAAAGAGGAAAGTTCCTGGAAAAGAAAGGACAATTATAATTATAAACACAGGGCCAGCATTATATAAATATATAAATACAAGTCCCCAGAAATGTTGACAAAGAAGCCCCAAATACAAGTTGAAAGCCTTGCTTATAATGCAAGGACTACACTTTCGGTGGGTGAATGCTTACTTTATTTGTTTTGTTGGCCTAAATTTTAATATATATTATATAAATAGTAGGAAAAAGCCAAAAAGATACCCACCAGTAGAATATAAACTCCCCCTAAAATCCCCAAATTCCCAGAAGAAATTCTGTGTACATGAGCTCTGTGTATTCAATAGCTACAGCTCTGACTAAATGGATTTTATGTCTTTTAGTCAGTGCAGGTCAGTTAAACAAAGAAACAACAAGATAGCGTATAATCCAACATAAATAAAGAGTGAAGTTTCCAATAATAATGTATAAAGAGTTTTCTTGGCAGAAACTATTTTATTATTTCATTATTGTACTTACCTGCCCAGGGACTGTGGGCTGAAAAAAAAAAACTTGCTAACATGTAGCACATTACATCTCTCCCTGTTTTATATAATGTTGATGTTTTGTCTCTGCTCACATAAAGACATTCACAAGACATTTCACATTTCTCAAGAAGTCCTTGCTCATGGTGGGAATTGTTGGGTCTCTTTAAATGATTTAAAAAGGAGTCTAGACCTGCTCTATAAGAAAAGTGTCCTCAGATGATATCCTTTATGATTTACAAATAAAATTTCATTGAACTGAATTTATCCAGGAAGTTTTATTAAGATCCTTAATCCCTTAGACAAATTAGTGTCTCTAACTTCAGTGTGTATTATGGTGAAGTAAACCATGCTGGAAACAAGTCATCCCTCGTTCAGTTTAATCCAGTTAATAGACCTTTTGACTTGACATAGCAGGAAAAGTCTTCTTATCAACATTAACAATTCTATTCCCAGTAAGTCCTGACAGCGTTACCAGGACCCCGACACTGAAGCATCTAAATGGAACTCAGCCATCATTCATTTAATCATTTACTGTCTTCTGTCAGAGAGGCCTATTCCTTTGGATATCAACAACTGCTTAGAAAACACAACAAACTATAACTCTGTTTTCCCCATAGTGGCCACATTACATAGCTACTCTAGTACATTATTAAGAAATAAAAAGCTTTGAATGTTTAATGTATGTCACCAGGAGTTCAGAGTGCTCTTTGATAGCATGCCAACAAATATCCCGACAGCAGCAGGATACTGGCTCTCTCAGGCTCTTTCATTTGGATAGTAGAGTACTGAAGACAAGCAGTAATTATTTATATCACAATCAATGCCCCTAACACTCCATCGTCGTCTATCCGCAGCGCGAAGACGGCGTGCTTCACCTTCTGCCTCACTGTTGAGGCTGCTGCCATCACACTTCAATTTGCTTTTCAGAGCCCAAGGAGCTGTTGCATTAGTTGCCAGGCAACGCAGCATGTATGTGATTACCAAAGATGGAAGGATTTAACAAAAATGAAGAAGAGTTTCTTTCAGAGATGGAGATCTATTTTTGAATGTGACACCCACTCTGGTGGTAATTGTTGACATGCAGATGTAAGTGTGATATTGTTGAGGTCATTGCCAGTATGTTTCCAGGAGACTGTTTACAGATATAATCCCACAGCATCAGAGCTGTGGCATGAATTACAAACCTTTTTCAAAGTGATACTGGCACACTTTGGCTATTATTGGCCTAATAAAACAGCCTTATAGAGAAAATAAAAGCTAAAGAACTCAGCTTTTGCTTATTAAAGTGAACTTTCTGAACATTTCTCCCTGCATCTTACGAGGTAAAAGCATTTTGTTTGCAGTTGTTTGTTTATGTAAGTCAGGACCAGCGTGATACGAGGTAAACTCTGTGTGTTGCCAGTGGGAGTGATTAATGCTCTTCCTTTTTTTTCTCTCAGCAAAGCACTACACAGCTTGTGTGCCAGGCAGGCAACTCCCAGGTGGGCATGTGGATGAATAGAAAGTAGGGCATTGCTGAATGAGACATAAAACAACAACAATGTGATCCTTTTTGGTGAATCAGTTTTGTTTGAGGAATTACAGTATTGTCATTTTACGGTTTATTTTTCTTACAAAGCTGGTCTTATTTTACGTGTTTCTAACATGAGACATGGCAGGTTGTTCCTAGATTAATAGATTTAAGGGAAGTCTACCTTAAATCATGTATTCTTAAAGTGAGAGCAAACCTTTTTTTGCAAAATACTCTGTGATGTCTTTTTTTTTTTTTTAAATATGAAGAGATTTAAAACCAAGGTTGACCATGTCTGAAAACCTGTTAGATCAAAACTTTACTCTATCAAATGACATTTATTGGGATCTATCAGTAGTTTGTAGATACTTTGTAGGACTTCACGATGTATGCTGTAGTTGTTGTCAAAGCCACATTAATGTTATATGGTAACAAGTAAAGACCGATTTTAAGTCTACAAGTGAATTTATATTGGAAATTAAATT